AAAAAAAAAAAAAAAAAAAAAAAAAAAAAAAATCAGTCTTCGATTTAGTTTTGTAAAAAAAAATTTAGGAATGTAAAAACATTTTGTTACTGTGAAAAAGCAGATCTAATCCCTGCCCTATAGGAATTTACCATTTCAAGCATTAAACACTGACGTAAACATATACAAATAAAATAACTATACACCTGACATTGTAAGATAAGGCTTAGGGTAAGCCATTTATATTAGACGCTTAGGCCGGGCATGGTGGCGCACGCCTGTAATGCCAGCACTCGGGAGGCTGAGGCAGGAGGATCGCTGTGAGTTCGAGACCAGCCTGGACTACATAGTGAGTTCCAGGTCAGCCTCAACTACATAGTGAGACCCTGTCTCAAAAAAACAAAAAAGCAAAAAAACACAAATATATTAGACGCTTAATGCTTGTAAGTTTTCACTGATGACTAGTTCATAAGGGATGTCTTAGGCCATTTAAAGCCACCGGTGAATTTACATGAAGAAGGCAAATCATCAGAGCTTTTAATGAGAAAAACCCACGTGATTATTAGCTCACATTCTAACATAGTTACTGCTTTGGGCAGTTTTCTGATATCTGTATTGGAACTTCTTTAGAAACGCCACTTCCTGCAACATTCCCAAATGCTGGATAGCACCGTACCTCCCCTGTCTATATTAACTTTTTCTTGGGTTTGCAGCATTCTAACATGCCTTAGTGTCTTACTGAGAAAAACATCAGAACGTATTAAAGGGTCCAAAACTGATGCTGAGTGCTCACCATATGACAAGCACTGCTCCAAGCGTTCGGCCTGCATTACCTCATTTAACCCTTATAATGGCCCTCTGAGACAGAAAAATGTAATTTTTTACATTATTACCATATTAGCAGGAAACTACAGCACAGAAAGGTTAAGTTTCCTGTCTGCAGTTATAAGCCAGATTTGAACCCAGGCATCAAATGTGTGAACCTCTGCTTTTAACCCCTCATAACCCTGCCTGTGAGGGTCTCACTAGGAACAACAGCTCTCTCTCCTTCGGCATTGCTTTCCGACGACCCTGTGCCAGGCACGCACACATTTATTACACCTACGCAGGATTCATCCTTCCCTGCACCACAACGCTGCATCCTCCAGCCTCTGCGTGTGCCCAGCCCCTCACTTCTGTGCTCTCAACAGGTCTGTCAGACAGGGGGTGGCCGCTCTAGATGGTGAAGCAGTGTGGGGCTGAAGCCCAGGAGACCGTGGTCCCTCTGTGACCGACTAGATCACAGTACCTTTGGGAGACCCAGTTTCTTCATCTACGAAATGCCTTATGGACAGGCTCCAACGATACAACGTATGGGAGCATGTGGTAATCTGTATGGAACGAATGACTGTTGGTAACCGTCTCTACTATACACAGCCTTTATCCTTGCCTCTCCCATTGTATGTCTTCCATACTCACTGTGAACAAGCAATGCACTTGACTCAGTATTTTACACAATACCAGGTCCTTTTTTTTTTAGTTGCCGGATCCTTCCTCATTCCTCTTCTTTTTATTCACTGAGGATACAATGTCAGCAAGACAAAGATCACACCTTTCTTCAATCCTACTCTACCCTGTCAGAGATGACAGGCATTCAGTGGTGTGCAGGGGCCACTTTGTGCTGTCTCACCAACCTCTTCCCAGCTCCATATTCAGTAAAGTCATACTTGCCTTGAAATCGGCAATAGTAGGAGCATTACCCTATGGGACTGGCAAATGTTACAAATCACCTTTCTCTTTCCTGTCAACCAGAGAGCTGTTTATTGTTACTAGGCCATCTCTGGATTTAGAAGCACAATAATAAAATATTGTGAGTACTAGGAATGGGATAGTATAGAGTGGTCTGTAGTGTGTAGGGAGGCATCTTAGTTATGGAGGTGAACAGAGGCATTGAGAGCTGTCTTGGAAGAAACGAGTGTTAAACTGAGACAAACAATGAGAGGAACCAGCCAAGTAAAGGGGGGAAAAGAGAGTTCCAGATAGAGATAATACCAGGTGCAAAGACCCAGAGTATCAGTAACTGAAAACAGTTCTTTAAGACTATGGTGCAAAGTAAGACAAGAATGAAGCTAGAGAGCAAGAGGTTCAACTTGACCCTAAGGACACCAGTTGGCTGTCAGTGGGCTTTGA